CGTGCAGCAGTGCCATGAGCCGTCTGTGCGAGATAGCAAAGAGGCTTAGGTCATCAGCGTAGAGTATAAGTGGGATTCGCATACCATCACTCTTGGGACAATCATGCACGGCCATTGCATCAGGCGCAAGACGGTCCTTGGCTTCCACGTAGTCTGCAGAACCTTCCCTGAAAATGCCGTACAATGTGGGGCTCAACGGACATCCCTGCTTGACCCCTTGAAACGAGAAAAAGGAGTCTCCCAGCCCCCAGTTGACATTGACCTTGGGTTCTACCCTCCGGTAACAAGCCTTCAGAGCATCCAGCGTGGCACCCGTCACCCCTCTCTCTTCCAGCCGCATCCATAGAAGATACCTAGGGACCTTGTCAAAGGCCTTTTCAAAATCCACCTGACACACGAAAAGGGGTTTCCCAGTATTCCGCTTAGTGTTGTCGATTAAATGTCGGAGCACAAACAGGTTATGGCACGTGCCTCTTTTGCTACGAAGCCCTCCTTGATAAGGGGAACAAGCTCCCGACGATTCACCCCATGCACTGAGTCGGCACTCAAGCAGAAACGCATACAGTTTTGAAAGCGCTCCGCCAACTGCCAGCCCTCTGTAGTTGCCCAGGTCATCCACGTCGCCCTTCTTGTGGATGGGTGTGAGTGATGATACCTCGAATTGCTTCGGATAATCACCCATCGTGCGGATATGCTCCATGAGCTTCAGCAGGTACGGTGCAAGCACAAATTCCGTCGAGTGTATTTCGCGTAAATTTTTTATTTCGCATAATTCGCGTTGAGCGTATTTCAGAGCCTCAGCCGGCAGCCCATCCACACCTCCCGACTTGTTGTTGTGCAGTGCCTTCATGGCCACGATGACCTCGTCCAGGGTGAAGGGGTTGTTCATTGCAAGAGCCGATGATACCCTGGCGTCCCTTTTTCCGTTACCCCGCTCCCAGCCGCGCCCGCCCCCATACACTGCCTCTTTGATAAAACTGAGGATGATATCCGCTTTGATGTCGCTGGCAGCACCCTTGTCCCCATTGAAGAGCGTGTCGAAATGCCGCCTCCAACTAGCAATATCGTTGATGGGGCAAGCGGTCTTGGACTTTCCATTGATCCGCTTCCTGAGCGCGTGTCGATCTCCACAGCACTCTTTCAAAAACGCCTCATATCGTCTGACCTTGTGCGCTTCCATAGCTTCACGTCACAGTCGCTGATATCGCGTCCATAAGCTAATAAACCTACTTCGCGCGTCGGGATCCTCCATCAATGCATTTGCTCTCATACAAGCCTTGTGCGTGAGCATAGCTGAGCGAGCCGCGGCACACTCTTCTGTCCACCAAGGGGCGTCTGAAACCCTCCTCCCCACACTACCTCCCTGTTTCGTCGAACGACCAGCTTTTCTAACGGCTCTGGACAAGACGTCCAAGATGGCCTCAACCGCTTCAGTACTGGTGGTCCCTTCCATCCCCAAACGTGCCGTGGCCTCTGCAATCCTTCTCACCACCCCTGCATCATCCGTTTCAAAAAGCTGGGCGTAATGCGCTATCCTTCCCATGTCAAATCGGAGTCCCCTCGTCCGTCTAACATCTGAGTGCCTACCAACATCAATTCCAATTCTACCGGGCAGTGGTCGCTTAGAAGCTTACCTGCTCCTGGCCTGAAATCAGCTACTGGGATGCCTAGGACCTGAAGGCTCTTGCAGTGCGTGAACAGTCCGA